AATGTATCGCTAAAGAACCTATTAACAAATACTATAAGCGAACAGATTTTAATTAGATTTAAATTCATTTAACCACAATTTACCTTGAAGTAACTCAAGTTGATACAAAATTTGAAGGTGATATAAGTTAATTCCAAATTTGTTACACTGTAGCAAATGTGTAATTTATTGACTTTATTACGTTATCTTTTAGTTCTCTTTATGACTATTTTTATTCTTTTTTCTTTTTTAATACATTTGATGAATTGCTTTCCAAATTCCTTATCAACAAATCGGTTAATAGACGATGTAAAATCTTAATTACATGCGAAGACTTTGAATTATAACTGAAACGCAAAAGGTGTTATTAGGCAAAAAATACATTTGCTATAGTAAAAAATTTGCATAGTGCTTTTAATTTAATTAATTTGTGATGCGTTGCATTATAAATAAAACTTATCTTAAAGTAACTTAAATTCCAAAGATACTCGATAAGAGAATATAGAGTTTATCGTAAGTTGAAATTGAATTCTTTAACAATTCGAATACGATTTAGAGTAACTTACATCATTCAAAATCAACCTAATAGATTCTAAACCCACAATAATTCCATTCTGACGTACAATTGCCTAGAACTCAAATATCAATCAACGTAATTCATGTAATTCATGCAAGTTTTCGAAATTTAATGCGATTTTTGTAATAATTAATCAATGCGATAATCATGAAAAATATATAATGGGCGTAGCAAAATTAAATAAAAAAATTAAAGTTTAATCCTTTTCTCAGTAATTAACAGAATAAAGAAACACATACCCGAAGGCTAATAGTAAAGGTATAATATTGAACCAAGAAGAGACGGCATAGATTAGTAAAATAAGGTTTAATTAAATTCTTATCTAATCCATGTTAGAATCGGTATGACTAAAACATGAAGATATAAGAAAAAAAATAATCATAATATATAAATAATCTTGCCTTGGTCATTAAAGTATTCTTATATTTTAATTGTTATTTTTGTTTATGTAATTATTAGCTTTGAGATCTATCAAACCAATAAATTGGTTAAAAATATTGAGCCACAATCCACAAATACAACCTGAGCGCGGAAAAAAAAGCATTTTAAATGCATTTGGAATGTTCCAAGGTCCTATTAAAATAACAAAAAATTGAATATTTGAATTATTAACATTAAAATAATTGTGTGATATATTCACCTTATCTGGAAGCACATTGAATTTATTGGCCTTTCCTCGAGTAACTATGGATCCTTGACCACCTGCTTTTATCATGTCTAAAGCCAAATCAATAAGTTGTGGATGCTGCACCAAATATAGACAAACATCAAGATCATTTTTAAATGGTCTAATTAGAGAAGATGAGGTAATCGCTGTTGATACTAAAGGTTGCTGATCGTAGGCTTCTTCGAATGAATTTCTTCTAATTAAAGAAGATGATGCGACGTTGGTCGAATTTGATAATCGTTGTTCATTAGTACTTTTAGTTGAATAGCTTCTGTTTAAAAGAGATGGTGCGACGTCAAATTGGTCATGAATACTTTCAGGCGAATGGCTTCTGTCCGAAGAAGATTGTAGATCATTAGACATTAATAATTGTTGGTTATAAAAACTTTCAGGTGAATGATTTTTAATTGAAGGAGATGAAACATCTGAACTTTGTTCATTTTGTTTTGTGGTATTTTTAGATATATGAGACCGTGAATCCATATCTAAATTAAACAATAAATTTAGTATTGTATATAGCATAAAATTGCAATAATATTATACTATTGTCACTACTAGCCAAACTAGTTTCATCATCTTTTTTTCTTCTCTTGCTTATGTTAATACGATCCGGATTTATTTTTTTTGACTTTCTCTAACGGTTGTATTTGTGGATTGTGGCTCAATATTTTCAACCAATTCATTGGTTTCGACAGATCTCAAAGCTAATAATTGCATAAACAAAAATAACAATTAAGATATAAGAATACTTTAATAACCAAGGCAAGATTATTTATATATTACAATTATTTCTTTTCTTATATCTTCATGTTTTAGCCATACCGATCCTAACATGGATTAGATAAGAATTTAATTAAACCTTATTTTACTAATCTATGCTGTCTCTTCTTGGTTCAATATTATATTTTTACTATTAGCCTTCAGGTATGTGTTTCTTTATTCTGTTAATTACTGAGAAAAGGATTAAACTTTAATTTTTTTATTTAATTTTGCTACACTCTTTCTATATTTTTCATGATTATCGCGTTGATTAATTATTACAAAAATCGCATTAAATTTCGAAAACTTGCATGAATTACATGAATTATGTTGATTGATATTCGAGTTCTAGGCAATTGTACGTCAGAATGGAATTATTGTGGGTTTAGAATCTATTAGATTGATTTTGAATGATGTAAGTTACTCTAAATCGTATTCGAATTGTTAAAGAATTCAATTTCAACTTACGATAAACTTTATATTCTCTTTTGCGTTTCAGTTATAATTCAAAGTCTTCGCATGCAATTAATATTTTACATTGTCTATTAACCGATTTGTTGATAAGGAATTTGGAAAGCAATTCATCAAATGTATTAAAGAAGAAAAAAGAATAAAAATAGTCGTAAAGAGAACTAAAAAGATAATGTAATAAAGTCAATAAATTACACATTTGCTACAGTGTAACAAATTTGGAATCAACTTATATTGCCTTCAAATTTTGTATCAACTTGAGTTACTTCAAGATAAATTGTGATTAAATGAATTTAAATCTAATTAAAATCTGTTCGCCTATAGTATTTGTTAAGAGGTTCTTTAGTGATACGTC